CACTTTTTCTGATCAAAGATCTCAAGCTTACTTCTTCTGATCCTTTCAAAGTCATTTTAGTACCAGAGTAGAATTTTGACATACTTCTAACAATGTGGGACTCTGATGACACAACCGTGAACGAAGGCATGGACAACATAGATGTCGAATGGTCATGTAAGTAGATCCCAAAGATCGCTCTCAATATTCCTTTAATTGATCTCAAAATAATACATTCTTTCGAAAGGCTCAGAAAATGGCCCCGCAGAACGGAAACGTTCTTGGTTTTGGGTTGGCATTATTTGATTATTCCTTATAACTGAACGCGCACTTGTTATCAGAATTTAACCATTCTCTTTAAATGCTTATTTATACAAGCTGCGTGAAGTGACCTCGCGAGACGCAGAAAATGGAATGGACGTGGTAATTACTTGACTTAGTTTAATATATGTTTATTGGTAGTGCATTTCATGACTACATGAATTCTTTTATATTTATAGCAAGGAATTACTTGGGACACCTTCAATATTACGCGTCAGCGATATCGAGAAATTAGGTATGTGTTTTCCTCTTGCATCTCGTAGTTTGTTTTTGTTATTGATTATTGTCATAATATTTACAAACAATAGGCTCGTAGATTATAAAAATTATGAGAATGTCCAAAGATCACATGATGAAATAAAGAAAGTTAGTAGTGGTTTAGTTATAGTATTCAAGTTGAATCGTGATCTACATTAACTTTCTTGTCACTTTGCTATTATAGGAAATCAAATCTGTCCGAACCGACGCACAATATTACAAATTTAAATATACGACTTTATCACACAAGTGTTCTATCGTTCATTTTCAATTGCGTAATCTTTTATGGACTACAGGAAGAAATGATGTCTTTTATACACGTTCGTAACCTCAAGTTGCGCAATGTTTTACTAAGTCTTATTAGTTGTCTGAATTCTTGTTGATCGATTCATTAGATTCTTCACGTATTTGCCATTGGAATTCAGTAATGATGAAATCACAACCCGCACTGGATCTAAATTATAATAACCGTAATGTCGAAACTCCCTTTGAAATAAGCACATTCGCGTGCAAATACAATTGTTTGCTTGTTGGTGGTATGCTAGTATACGAAGAAATGTGATTATCAAATTCAATGAACAAATAAACTCGAATACAAAACCAACATTCAATTCTGTGCAAATAAATAGGGCTTTATGGAGAATATGCATATCGAAGGCTAGATGCGGAGCCTATCAAGTTTGGTAAGATAACCACAGATTCAAATGGAATAACAAATCACATGGATATTATCGAATCACGAACGGGAAGTAAGTAAAATAATTGTTAGTTAAATATTGGATGACACTCTATTCACAAACGACTTTATTCTTATTAGGCGTTGTTGCGGTCATCTCCAGCAATGATAAGAAATCCAGGATCATGGATCTCGCAACTTTGAGGTTTATCGAAGCCTACGATTTCCCATGGCCAGTGAACGTAAGTATTGATAGTAATAAATATTTATGTACATAACACGAATTAACATTACTGCGTTTAATATTTTTTGTTAAGTGCACTTCTTTGAGTCCAAGCAAGAACCTACTTTGTGTTGTCGGAGACGATACTGACACTATGGTTGTTAGCGCAGACTCGGGAAAAAGTA